CAAAGACCTTTGGGGGCAGACAAGGTAGGTGGGACTTACCTGCTTTGAACCAGACCCCTTGGCCCTTTCGCCATGCCCTGTGGATGGATGTCGGGTTGGGATACGGCACAGATCCTTGGCTCTTTCTCCTTGACCTTGTGCCGGGCAGAATGAACATATTTGAGCAACTGCCAGCATGTTGGTTAAGAGCTGCATTCTTCTCTAGCAGGCTTGCAAACGTATTCTAGACGGCAAATCACTTGCTGTATTTCTTAGTAGCCAAGTGTGGGAAACCTCTGCTTGGTCAGCAGCAGTGTGGATGGGCCCCGGGTAGGTCATGATAGCTGGTGAGCCCCGAGTCTGAATCCCAGGAGCCGTGCCTCAGAGCTCACTGCACCCTCGGCCCTACCTCCTCGGGCTGCTTCACCTGCCACGAGCCCAGAGACAGATCCCGAGAAGTCTGTTGGCCTTGTTTCACTGCATGTTGGATTCTAGAAAGTGACTAAGTTTAAGGGAGGCCACCACAAATCCTAAATAAGAGATGGGAAGGTTTTGCTGTTGATTGGGGATTGTGAAGCATGTTGAACTCAGATAAGAATATAATCCGGTAACAGTAATTATAGACCGAGAGGCCAGCAAATTGTGTTCCTTCTATGATCTCAATCATTTTCTTTAGACCACTTTTCTTTTTTTTTTTTTTAAAGATTTTATTTTATTTATTTGACAGAGAGAGAGAGAGCGAGAGAGGGAACACAAGCAGGGGGAGAGGGAGAGGGAGAAGCAGGCTTCCCGTGGAGCAGGGAGCCCGATGCGGGGCTCAATCCCAGAACCCTGGGATCATGACCTGAGCCAAAGGCAGACGCTTAACGACTGAGCCACCCAGGCACCCCTAGACCAGTTTTCTTTGAGATAAAATTTTATAAACAAGAAAATTCACACATTAGGCATATAGGTGGATCATTCCGAAAAATGTATATACCACCCTCCTGCGTTCCAACAAAGTTCTGCTTGGAGTGGAGTTTGGCTTCTCCAGCTGAGCCAGTCGTAGACGTCACATGTTACCTTGTCCTCGCTCTTGAGTCTTGCTGAAACCCACGCATCGTGGCACCCTGGGGTTCCGTGCTCCTGGTATATCAAGAATGCTGTTCCAGTGGGGCTGCATGGAGCCAGTGTCCCATCAGACTTCACTTAACATAAGGTTGAAGATAAATTGTCAAGAATTCCAGGATGGGGGCAGCTTGTGAGCACCGATTCCATGGCGCACACCTGGCAGGTTGCAGTGATGTATGCTTGTTGCTCAGTAAACACCTGGGGGTGCCTTCTGGGTGAGGACATAAATGGAGCCTGGTGTGGAGCAGTGGCCTGAGCCCCTGGCTGCCCGGGCCTCCCAGGGCAGGGAGGTGTTCCTAATGTGCAGTTTAGGGCAGGAAGCGAGGAGAGGAGGGCCTCCTCCCAGAGCTGGGTGAGCGCTTTCATAGGGCAGGAGGGTGTGAAGGTAAACCCATCTGCTCTGTCAGCTGTAACTGGGCACCTGTGTAAGTCACTCTGTTTCCCCATCTGTAAAATGGGGAGAACCTAGAGGGTAGGGAGATGTCCCCTTGAGTATCAGCTTGAGAATGTAAGTGGAGCCTTTAGCATGGGGCCGGGCACGGAGTCCGTGCTCTCCACTCCTGGTGGCCAGCATTATTCCTAGTCTGCCCTCGGAGCCACAGGCGGGCCCTTTGTGGCGGTGACTCTCAGCACCTCCTTCCTGGGCATCAGCCCTGCTGGGAGCACGAGTGCGCGCCCCACCACCTGCGGCCGCGCACGCTCCTCTCTGGCTGTGGGGGCCAGGCCTCCCCGGGCGCTTGCCTCCTGCCCGGAGCCCGCGGGGACCGGCAGCACCGCCCGCTCGCCGTCGGCCTGTCTCCCTGGAGCCCTTGGCCTGACTCGCTGTGCCGGCATTTTACAGCTGTTCTTTCCAGACGCTTAGAGTGGGCCTGGGGTGGGAGGGGACGGTCCTGTCTCCCTCGCTGGTCACTTTGTTTCAGGGATGGCAAAATAATTGCCTTGCAAGTGGTACGGCATTAAAAAATCTCTTCGTAAAATGTCTGGCAGAGCCAAAGAGTGGACAGCCACGGATGGTTGCCGAGGTAGCACTCAGAGGACCCAGGGTGGCATCGGGGACCATAAAGCGCCCGTTTGTCTCACGGACCCATGAGGGGTCGGGGGGGGGACAGCTGAGCGGAGACCCTCACTTCTTGATTTCAAAGGCACCGCCGCTTGGCCGGAGCCGCTTGGTTAATGTCAGAAAGGTGTTCTGCCAGCATCGTTTCCGGGCAGTCAGTGGGGTTGGCGAGGGGTCGGCGGGCAGGAAGCCCTGTCGTTGCTGTGCAGAGACCGGCAAGCAGGAGAATGGCAGCATCAAAGGTCCCGGCGCGCCGCCCGCCAGCCGCTCGGGGCGGAGAGTGACGCGACCCTGCCGCGCTCCGTGCTCCAGGCCCCGCGCCGGCGCGCAGTTCAAGGCACTTTGTTTTTTCACCTGTTTCCTACGGTCTGAGAAGCTTCTGAAGAAGTGACGTGGGGCTGTATCGGACACCCGGGCGTTTCCTCAAGGGAAAATAATGTTACAACAGGGAGGGGACAAGTAGCCACTTGGCTGCGATGCGGGACTGTTCTCGCAAGTAAGAAAAGCCCTCTCCGGCCACGCGTGCTCCGCGTCGCCGCGCTTCCCCCTCCCACGCGGCCGCAGCGGGTCCCCGCGGCCGGCCTGGCGGCAGCGGGCCACACAAGTGCGGGGAGCCGCGGCGCCCGCGGCCGCAGCCAGCCCCGCGCAGGCGCAGGCGCAGGCGCAGGCGCAGCCTCGTGCCCCCCGCCGCCCGTCCCTTGCGCCGCCTTGCCTCACGCTCTGGGTTTCACAGCGCGCAGCCAACTTGCCGGCAGCGAAGAGCCTGAAGTGCTTTACGGATTTCCTACGTTTCCCCCTATCGTTACGTTTTAATCCATGCGGGCTGAATAGTCTATGGAGGCTCCTTTATTTAAAGGCTGTTCTCGTGGTAGCAGCCGGTGTCCGTCTAAGCCCCTTTGCAGGAAGTCGACGACGAGCGCTCGTTTGGTTCACCCGGTGCGCGTGTGTTTCCGGACGTGGCCTCGGCAGACACGACAGTTGCAATTAGTAAACCAGCATAATAAACTCTTCGACTGGGCGCCTGGGTGGCGCAGTCGTTCAGCGGCTGCCTTCGGCTCAGGTCGTGATCCTGGAGTCCCGGGATCGAGTCCCGCGTCGGGCTCCCTGCTCCACGGGGGGCCTGCTTCTCCCTCTGACCCTCCCCCCTCTCATGCTCTCATTTTCTCTCTCAAATAAATAAATAAAATCTTTTAAAAAGGGGCGCCTGGGTGGCTCAGATGGTTAAGCGTCTGCCTTTAGCTCAGGTCATGATCCCAGGGTCCTGGGATCGAGTCCCGCATCGGGCTCCCGGCTCAGCGGGGAGCCTGCTTCTCCCTCTGACCCTCCTCCCTCTCATGCCTTTTCTCTCTCTCTCTCTCTCTTTCTCAAATAAATAAAATCTTTAAAAAATGAAAAAAAAAAATAAAAAATAAACTCTTCAACTGAACCCTGCCTTTTACACTCTTACCACCAGGTGGCTAAGAAAAAAAATTAAGCGGGAGAAGCTCAACAACTATGGAAAGGACTTGTAATCCCTTTTAATTTCGGCTTCAGCAGGGAAATACGAAACCGCAGACAGGCCGCCTGAAGACCGGGAGGTGCTGAGCGAGGACCGGCATCCCCCGCAGTGCAGGCCGGGGGGCGCGTCCCGGGCTGGTTCTGTTTTCGTAAATGCTGACAGTGCTGAAGTAGCCACATTTTGAGACTCTCTGAGCCTGTCCCCCCTCCCGGCTGACCGCCGGCTGTCCGCGCTACTCCCAACGGTTGGGTTTGGGACAGGGGTTCGGTTTGGGGGCTCTTCGATTCTCAAGTGGAAGGTGCTCACACCCTAACACAGCAGTGGCCGCGTCAGTCCTGGACACATTGGTAACGCCCTTGGCAGAGATGGTGCTCGGGGTCATTCAGAGTCGGCTCTAAGACCTGAAAGTGAAATAGGCCACGTTGAATGGTAGTATCCCACGCGTCCATCTCGTTGGTTTTGTAGGGAAATCCATGTGTGGTAGGGATGGTGACATAACAGGGTAGAAAACACTTTTAGACTTCTCCTTGACTGCATTCGTTAGAGGAGGGACAGCATCAGAGGACAGGGACCTATTCTGTGGCGTTTAAAGAGAAGGGCAGATCTTATCCCATGAACACAAAACCCCAGCAGTGCACCCACCTGTGCTGCTCGTGGTGCTCAGCTTCTCCTGTGCATTCCAGTTTGCCCTTCAGTTCTCTAATTTATTAACTCTGACAAGTAACCTCTTGGTTGTACATGATTTTATTCACAATTTGTTTTTCTCATTCAAAGTGAACATGAGTGCCTTAATCCTCTAATGGGAATTAATTGCTTGTTTCAGTGCTTAACTCTGATCCTTTCTCAATCCCCACAGGGATGAGTTTCTTCCTGAAGGATCTGTATTTGTTCAAAACACAATCAGAAAGGTAATGATGTTTTTCTTATGAAAGGAGCCAGAAATGCAAAATGTTCATTCTTTTTTTTCCCTTACATAAGTAGTAAAGGATACAATTCAATAGATGAAATGTAGGCTATTATAATTTGTCATTCTAGCAGGCTGCATTAGTTCCTAGAAAAGAAGTTTAATTTTATTGTCCAGTTTTCTTTCATGAGAAGAAATTATCTTCTGCAGAAGAAAGCTACTGGACTGATTTTCCACAGAGTTGAAGTTAACAACCTGTGGTCTAACTAGTAACCAGGATCACTTTTTTTTTTTTTTTAAAGATTTTTATTTATTTATTTAACAGAAATAGAGAGCACAAATAGGCAGAGCGACAGACAAAGGTAGAGGGAGAAGCAGGCTCTCCGCCAAGCAGGGAGCCTGATGTGGGACTCGATCCCAGGACCCTGGGATCATGACCTGAGCCGAAGGCAGCCGCTTAACTGACTGAGCCACCCAGGCGCCCCTAAGCAGGATCATTTCTATGTCACAGCACCTTCCTGGGTATTCTTGGCTCTGAAAAATTATTAAGGCCCAACCAATAATTGATATGGCTTGATTCCCTTTCCTGTTTATTATGTGGAATATTCATTTTTGTTTTATTTTTTTAAGAGGCTTCATTGAGAGGAATATAAGCTAGTAGATATTTTTAGAAGACCTTGATAAAGGAAGGAGGTGGGCTGGAGAACCTAGGAAAGAACATTCATTGGGTGCTGAGGCCATGCACACAATCGGCACTTAGTAGAGGTAGAATGAACCCAGTTTTAAAACAACTTTTTTAAAGACCCACAGTTGCCAAGTGGTAGAGATGGAGATCGATTCAGGCCTGTCACTGTGCATTTCTTTACTCTTACCATGCTCTGCGTTCTTACACGTCCGTCAATAGAACACTGAGGCTGCCCTGCCTGACGATGTTCCCTGCAAGGGCTGAGCCCCAACTGCTATCTGGGCCCACAGGGCGGGCCTGGTCAGCCATCAGTGTCCTAGAAGAGGCCTACCTGGGGGATGTACTTTACATTAAAGCAGAGTTAGAGCCACTTCTAAAGGCCGCGCTTCAGTTTCCTCTGGAAAAACCCAAATGGCTCACCTATGGCTGGTTCCTAAATGAAACTCTTACATTTTATCGAAGACTCTAACACGGCTGAAACACAGTAATGTATGAGCCTCGGGATGGCAGTGCCACCCTCTCCCAACCTGAATCAATCACAGGCATGTTCTTAATTAGCCCCGGCTGGGGTTCTGAGAAGATCTGGCCCATGTAGTAGACTTTTTTACATGTCCTGTTGGCTGTGACCCTCATAGCCGCCCCTGGAGATGGGATGAGACAAAGAACAGAAGAAAAACTACACTTTGCAAAAGGAAGGAAAAAATAAAGATTGGAGCAGAGATAAACTAGAGAACAGAAGAACAATAGAGAAAATCAACAAAATTGACAAACTTTTCAATTTACTAAGAAGAAAGATACAAATAACTTAAGTCAGAAATAAAAGAGGGGACATTACAGCCCATTTAGTAGAAATAAAAAGAATTACAACAGTTGTGTGCCAACAAATTGGAAACCTAGATGAAATGGATCATTCTTAGAAACACACCCCACCAAGGTGAACTGTGAAGAAATAGAAAATTGGAACAACTAATAACCAGAAAAGAGATTGAATTAGTAATCAAAACCTCTTAACATGGGATGCCCGGGTGGCTCAGTAGGTTAAAGCATCCGACTCTTGGTTTCAGCTCAGGTCATGATCTCATGGTCATGGGTTATGCTTGAGATTCTCTCCCACTCCCCCAACTTGCACACTTTAAAAACAAAGACCAGAACCAGATGGCTTCACTGGTGAATTCTACCAAATCTTCCCAAAAATTGAAGAGGAGGGAACACTTCCAAACTCATTCAATGAGAGCAGCATTCTCTGTTACCAAAACCACAGATTAATATCCCTGAGGATTGATGCAAAGATTCTAAACAAAATATTAGCAAACAAAATTCAGCAACACATTAAAAGGATTATATACCACGACCAATTGGAGTTTATCTCAGGAATGCAAGGGTGGTTCAACATAAGAAAATCAATGTAATACACATTAATAGAATGAAGGGGAAAAAAGCTGGACAAAATTCAACACAAGTTTGTGGTAAAAACACTTAAACTAGTAATAGAAGGAAACTACCTTAATATAATAAAGGCCATATACGAAAAGCCCCAAACTAACCTCATACTCAGAGATGAAAGACAAAGTTCTTCCTCTAAGACCAGAAACAAGACAAGGATGCTTGTAATTTTACCACTTCTACTCAACATAGTATTAGAAGTCCTACCTGAAACCATCAGACAAGTAAAAGAAATAAGAGATATCCAAATTGGAAAGGAAGAAGTAAAATTATCTCTGTTCACATTATCTTATATGTAGAAAGCCGTAAGATTTCCACAAGAAAAATGTGGGAATTAATTAATAAATTCAGCAAAGTTGAAGGATACAAAAATCAGTGCACAAAAATCAGTTGCATTTCTATATATTAGCATTGAAAAATCTGAAAAGAAAATATAAAAACTAATTCCTCTTACAGTAACATCAAAAAGAATAAAATACTTAGGAATAAACTTAACCAAGGAGGTGAAAGACTTATACACTGAAAACTACAACACATTGCTTAAAGAAATTAAAGACAATAAATGGAAAGATATCTCATGTTCATGGATTAGAAGACTATTGTTAGGATGCTAATACTACCCAAAGTGATCTACAGGTTTAATTCAACTCTTAATGAAAATTCCCAAAGTTGCATTTTTGCAGAAATAGAAAAATCCATCCTAAAATTCATAAGGAATATCCAGGGACCCCAAATAAGCAAAGTAATCTTGAAAAATTACAAAGTTGGAGGTCTCCTACTTCCTTATTTACTGCATAGCTACAGCAGTCAAAAACTGTGGTACTGACCTAAAGACCCACACATATAGAGACCAATGAAAGACAATAGAGAGTCTAGAAATCAATCGTTGCATATATAGTTAAATGATTTTTGACAAGGGTGCCAAGACCAATGGGGAAAGGATAGTCTTTACAGCAAGTGGAAAACCAGATATCCATACGCACAAGAATAAAGCTGGACCCTTCCTTTACACCACATACAAAAATTAACTCAGAATGGATCAATGACCTAAATGTAAGAGCTAACGCTATAAAACTTGAGAAAACATAGGGTAAAAGTTTCATGACATTGGATTTGGCACTGATTTCTTGGATATGACACCAAAACATGGGAAACAGAAGTAAAAATACATTGGACAACACCAAAATTCAAAACTGTGCATCAAAGGACACAACCAACAGAATGAAAAGATAACCTATGGAGTGAGAGAACATATTTGTAAATCATGCATCTGGTAAGAGGTTAATATCCAGAAGATATAGAGAACTAAAATGCAATAGTGAAAAACCTGAATAGACATTCCTCCAAGGAAGATATACGAGTGGCCAATAAGCAGATGAAAAGATGCTGAACATCACCAGTCATGGAAATGCACATCAAAACCACAGTGAGATACTGCCTCACACCAGTTAGGATGGCCACTATCAAAAATAAGGCAAAACAAAACAGAAAACAAGTGCTGACAAAGATGTGGAGAAACTGGAACCCTTGTGCACTGCTGGTGGGAATGTAAAAATTGTACAGTCGCTAATGGAAAACAGAACGGAGGTTCTTCAGAAAATTAAACATAGAATAACCGTATGATCTAGCAATCCCATGTTCGTGGCAGCATTTTTCACAACAGCCGAGAAGTGGAAGCAACCCAGATGTCTATTGGTGGATGGATGAATAAAATGTGGTGTATGCGTATGATGGAGAATTATTCAGCCTTAAGTAAGAAAGAAATTCTGACATGTGCTGCAGCATGGATGAACCTTGAGGACACTATGTTCCATGAAATTAGCCACAAAAACAGAGACATTATATAATTTCACTCATAAGAGGTACCTAGAGTAGTCAAACTCATAGAAAGTAGCATGGGCTTGTCAGGGGTAGGGAGACAGGGAATGGGGAGTTCTATTTAATGGGTATAGCGTTTCAGTTTTGTAAGATGGAAAGAGTCTTGGAGATGGATGGTGGTGATGGGTGCACAATAATGTGAATGTATTTAACACTACTGAACTGTACAATTAAAAAGAGGGTGATAAATTTTATATTTTGTGTATTTTATCACAATTTTTAAAAATTTGAAAATAAGAGATTCAGAGAAGGAATTGGTTTATCAAATAAAATTCAGTGAAGGGGCGCCTGGGTGGCTCAGCTGGTTAAGTGACTGCCTTCGGCTCAGGTCATGGTCCCAGGGTCCTGGGATAGAGCCCCGCATCGGGCTCCCTGCTCAGTGGGGAGTCTGCTTCTCCCTCTCCCACTCCCCCTGCTTGTGTTCCTTCTCTCGCTGTCTCTGTCAATTAAATAAGTAAATAAAATCTTAAAAAAAAATTTTTTTTTAAATAAAAATTCAGTGAAAACAAGTGGGGGAGACAAAGAATATAGTGAGGTATGTCCTTTGTAAACCGTCACTGTCACTGCAGAGCCTGAATCCTGGCCTGTCCCTGAAAGGGTCACCTCCCCGTGGCCTTGGGGTCAGCCTGACGTGCAGAGCGCTGGGGGTACCATGAGCCCAGCAGACCTAGGCCCCGTCCCTGGCGCTGCCCCCACAGGTTCTGTGCCTGGAGCCTCGTCTCTGCCCCATTAGCTTCCCCGTCCGCTCAGTGGGGTCCCACCACCCGTCTTTAATGCGTGGGGCAGATTTGGGAAGCAGACATGGCACAGGGCCGGGCGGACGGTGCCTGGTCATCGCTGGGAGGAATCAGCCCCTGAAGGAGCGCCATCCTCTGCAGCGTTCTGACCACGATTTCTGTCCTTCCTCTAGGCCGGCTTGCCCATTCGTGGGTGAGGGATTTCTTCTCTTCCTTTGCAGCTGAATCCCCGGAGTAAGGAAAGCTCAGCACTGTCTTCGCTGAGAACCCGCTCTGGCATCCTGTAGCTCTTATTCCAAAGCCCAGGCTTTTTCCAGTAGAACTGTTCTGAACCTCTCCATTCTACAGGTCCTCAGCCCTGGTGGTACCCGCCCCATCCTGGGCAGAGGACATCACCTATTTTGAGGAAAGGCCAGGCAACTCCGCATGAACATCCCTGTGGCCACCCATCTGTCCCTTCTGAGGCAGGGCCCCCATCACCACGCCTTCAGCACACTCTTTCCCACTGTCCCTGCTCCATTTTTTTTTTTTTTTTTTTTTTTTTAAGGCTGCCTATTTACCAGTCTATTTCCCTTGACCTTCACGGCGAACGGGAGAGGGGAGAATATGTCTCATTTCTTATGTGGGGAAGGAACATAATTTTCCCTCTACCCGTATTACTTCCTGTAGTAAAAGATTAACAGGAGAGAAACACAAAAATTTTATAACGTGTGTATCTCCTGCATACATGGCGAGACCCAGGGGAAATGAGTAACTCCCTAAATGGCCCGCACCCTCCCCTTAGGTACTATCTCCAGCTAAAGACAAAAGATGTTGGGGCCTCAGGAGCCAGGTGTGGGAGGTTTGCAGGCGAAGCACAGTGAACAAGGGTAAAGTTATGCATCTCTCAGTCTTTGCCTTGGGCACTGATAGAGCTTCTAGAGATGGGGAGCCATCCTCCTCTTGCTGGTACAGTAGGGAGATAACCTCACAAATGGAGACACCCCTTAGAAATGCAAATGACTCTTCTAAAAAATGGTCCCTTCTAACAGAGCTTCTCCTGTGTTTCTTAAAAATAATCAGCCTGAAGTAATCCTCCTGCCAAAGAGGCATATTCTGGGGCGACAAACTCAGCTCCCCTGTGGCTCCCTGAGTGCCCTGCTGGCCTTTCCCTCTCCTTTGGTTGCTTCCTGTTCTCCCCTCATGCTTTTGCTTCAGGGGACACGAATCCCCTCTGTAAGCATACTCCCTCTGTCCCCCAGCCATGTCCAGCCCTCTCTGGGCCCACGACTGCCACCTTACTGGCTTTCTCGGCAACCTAAAACACACCCACATCATTGGTGCAATAAACTCTTCTCAGCGCCCCTCTAAGCAAGTGGTTCCCGAACCTCCACTTCCATCCCATTTCACACTGAGCCTCTGGAAAGATGAAGGGGCCGAGGGCCCTGTGAAATGGCGGCATGGTTGTTGCAGTGAGGGTTCCCCAAGAAGGAGACTCAAGAGGAACAGGCTCTTCTGGTCCTGCTTTCTCCCTAAATACCACTCCAGTGACCCATAAAGACAGAAGATGAGGGAGGGCAACGAAATTCTGGAAGACAGAAAATGACTTAGCAGCCTGGAGAAACCAGACACCGGCAAGTCCCTGCGTGGTGCGAAGCCAGCAAGCAACTGCTGACCAGTACAGCAGACGGCCAGAGAAACTCCGGACCCATGGGCCTAGGAAGAGGAGGGTCAGGGCAGAAACAGCAGGAAAGGGTGAAAGTCTGTATAGGGAGCAGACACCCAGTCTCTTCTTCCCAGTAGGGAGCAGGTGAGACACTGTCCAGAGAGGCTTGGTACTGGGGACACTGGTCCCAGCTGGGGTGGGGTTGGGCGGCACCCAGAAAATCGAGATCGAAGGAAATCTGCATGCCTATAGAGTCTGTTATCTGACGTGCCCCCCCAGCCTGCACCGCCCAAACCTACTGATCCCCCAAAAGAGGCTTGCCAACCATCAGGCTCTCTCCCTCGCACACAGAGCCTTCATTGCCTATATGATGTCTGGATTCTCAACATGAAAGGCCCGTAGCCAAGGATTACCAGTATTTGAAGAAAACCTCTAAAGAAACATGCACCAAAACAAAAAGCCAGGCAGGCAAAGATGAAAACGTAAAACCACCACCCAAACCCATGATAATTAATACCTTCCCAAAGATGAGAGGTGGCTTTGAGCTGGAAAAGAACTATGATGGCAAAAAGAGACACAAATTCATAGAAGGACTGAGAGTTAAGTAGAGTATAAAGAAAAAAACCTGGAAAAAGGGAGGAGAGAGAGAAAATGGGAAAATTAATCCAGGATACACAATACCTGAGTATTAGGAGACCAGAAAGAGAACAAGAAGGTAGAAACAAGAAGGAAACTCCCCGTGGTCCAAGATGGTGAGTTTTCAGATAGAAATTCCCAGCACAGTGAATGAAGGAAGCCCACAAGAAGTGGGGTACCTGGGCGGCTCTGTTGGTTAAACATCTGACTCTTGATTTCAGCTTAGGTCATGATCTCAGGGTCATGGGATTGAGCCCCACGTTGGGCTCTGCGCTCAGCACGGAGTCTGCTTGAGGTTCTCTCTGTCCCTCTGCCTATCCCCCCACTCGTGCTCTCGCTCGCTCTCAAGTAAATCTTAAAAAAAACACACATACACAAAAAAATACACTGTAACCTCAGAATCTGAGGGGAAAAAGGAAGACCTCACAAGTCTCCAGAGAGGAAAGCTCAAGTCCTGAACAGAGGATGGTGGAGTCCAATGGCACTGGACTTCTCAACAAGAACATGGGAAACAGAAAACAAGAATGCCTTTAAAGCTCTCAAGAAAACTGTTTCTAGAATTCTCCACTGAGCCACACTGTTAATTAAGGATGGGAAAGAATTAGCTTCAGCAAAATGAGGGAGTTGAGGAAGATGGGGCCACGGGATGCGGGGGCTCAGGGAAGCCCTGGGTGGCATGGCAGGACACGCCATGAATGGAACCCAGTCCCTGGTGGTAAAAAGAGACACAGGGGGTGCCTGACTGGCTCAGTCGGAAAAGCATGCAACTCTTGATCTTGGGGTCATGGGTTTGAGCCCCGTGTTGGGTATAGAGGTTACCTAAGTAAATAAACTTAAAAAAACAAAAAAGAACAGAAAAAGCACCCAAATGGCTGCATTTTAGGCCAAGTCACTGAGTCAGGACTTTACATCTAACCTAATTATACTTTCAGACTGCCTAGAAACGTAGTCTTAACCGGTCAATCAGGAATTTTCTGCTTTGCACTGATGAAGTAATCTGTCACGTGGGCCCTCCCCCATCCCCCAGAGGAACAGGAGGTACAGGAGGTGACCTGCCTAGTAAGACTGCCACCTGAGGGAAGGTGACCTTGCCTGGAACAATCCTTTTCTTTTGCTAATAAATTCCTTGCCCCACCTGCCTTCCCGTAAAAACCTTCCATTTTGTACAGCAACTCAGAGCATCCCCTCTATGGGCCAGATGGGAAGCTGCCGGATTCATGAATTGAGTCATAAAGGCAATTAGATCTTCACATTTACTGAGTTCAGTTTTTGTTCTTTAACAGTGGTCAGGCCTGAAAGGATGCTTGCAGCACTTTCGGAAAATGAGAGGCTGAATTACTGTCAGAGAAACTTGAGCAGAGGGGGAAAAAAGCTGCAAGCAATTTTTAATTCCAAGAAAAACAGAAAAGTTGTCCAAGAAAGGAAATTAATGATGGTACACTCTGTGCCTTATCTGAGAACAGTGTTTACATAGTTCTGATGCTGAAATGAATGCGGCTCTGCCCGAAACCGTGACAGGAGTCAAAGGGAGGGACGGAGGGACGCGGGGCAGGGCGGCGCGGCGCGCGTTCGGGGCTCGGGGCGTGGGGCGCAGCGCCTGTGGCGGGAACGAGCCCAGCCAGCAGGGAGCGCGGGCCTCCCGGGCAGGACGAGCTGGGCCGTGGGGGCGCAGCGACCCGCCGAGCCGCCGCTCCCAGCAGCGCCCCCCAGCAGCTTGCCATTAGGACCTCCTTTTACAGCCGAGGCGGAGAGGTTAAGTGGTTTGCCTCAAGTCACAACCCAGGCAATTGGGTTCTAAAGTCTGCGCTTTAAACCACCATGCGAGCCTGGCAGGTAAGACGTAGTTTAAAACCTCAGGAAGTAGCAGTGCGTGAGTCATCAGCAATATGAAGACAAATACCAAATGCCACAGCTTAAAGGCTTAGAAGTGTTGCCTCCAGGGAGTGGAAGAGAGTAGGCAGTTTCATTGTTCTGGTAAAGCTATTTGACTTTTTACATTATGGACACATATTACTTTAAAATTTAATCAAAGAGAAAAGCTAGGGCACCAGTGGTCGAGAGGAGCGCGTCTCCAGTTTGGACTGGCTTTGCCGGGCTGTGCGTTCTTAGATCCTCACCAAACCTGAGAGCAGGCATCACCGGACGAGATGTTTCCAAGTTTCCTTCCAGCTCTTAAGGCTCTGGCAGGGAAGAGGACCACTTAGAGGACACTTAGAGAACAGGCACCGTGGAGAGCAAGTGAGGGCGACGCAGGGCTGGGTGAGGTGCCGCTCTGGGCCAGCCCCGAGGCGGCCTCTGTGAAGGGGCCTCCAGGTGGGCAAGCACCCCCTGGGGATGGCCCGGGGCGGGGGGGGGCGGGGAGGAGAGCCGTGGAGCGTGGCTGAGACCCTCTGGGCGCTGCCCTGGGGAGAGGCTGCAGGGAGCAGAGAAGTAGGCCCATTTGGGGTTGGGGGCAGTCCTTGGGCGAGGGTGGTGATGGCGACCAGGGTGAGGGAGGGCTGGGCCCAGGGTTCCCTTGGGAGGAGCTGTGGACAGATGGTGCCAGCAGCCAGGATGCAAGTGTCAGGGACTCAGGAGGCTCCTCCCAAATGCCTGGTCTCCAGGGCTGGTGTGCAGCCCACCCCTCTGTCCGCGTCGCTCCTCTCGACGCCCTCTGTGCCCAGGTTTGCCCATCCTCCCTGGTCCCCCAGCAGCGGCCCTGGGTGCCTACATGGTCCTCATCCCTCTGTACCTGCGCTCCAGCTTCTCCTTGATTCACCTCCAGACTTCCGTGCCCAGCACGCCCCCCCTTCACACCCCACAGCTCTAGTTTGTCCTTCCCTGTGACCAGAGTCACAGAACTAGAGCTCCCACCGCGTCCCCGTCCTGCTCACGGTGCCCAGCACGCACCTGCACAGGCAGCCTGGTGCTCCCACGGCCAAGCCTTTCCGACCTCAGTTTACCCGAAGCCCGCGGAACTCCTGACGCTCCGCAGGCTGGTGACCGAGGCAGTGGACGGGAGACGAGTGGGCAGGCGTCGGCAGATGTGTGGGTCTCGGGGGCCGTGCGCCCTCCCCAGACGCCCTGAGCAGGTGGAGCGAGGCCCAGACCCCACACCAAAAGTGGAAGTCCCGCGGGCCTAGTGTGACTTCTCCAAGGGCCACTTGCCACGGGACTGACATGAGGGCGCGGTGCCCCCCCGGGGCCCTGGCTGCTGGCGGCCTGCCGCCAGCACATAGCGCGGGAAGGAGGCCGGCGAGGCGCCAGGCCGAGGAGAGGGGGCCCGCCTGAACTTCATCAGCTTTGTTGGAGTCACTTTCACACAGGTGGCTCTTCTCAGTTATGTAACCATCTGTGGCCCAGACCCAGGTGAGCGGTAACTACCTTCACACGAGAGCCAAGGTTGCTGCGCTGAGTCACAGCGAGTCACAGGGAAGCCTCATTAGCCTCTAGGACCTTGGAGAGGAACCGGAAGGTGTGATCGTTCAAGTTGGCTGCGTCCTGCCGCCAGAACCAGAATAGAAGCTTAGTGCTGAAACCTGAACGAGCTCTTGTGACTACTTTATAGACGTGTGTGTGTGTGTACGTGTATGTATGTTTGCTTATTGGTATCTCGAACGTAGCCATAAAAAATATTTATAGTGTAATTTTTAAAGTCCTTTCAAAAACATTAAAAACTAACTGGTCTAAGAAACAGCAGCTCTGCAGGGCTTCATCCCAGACAGGCTGGCTCCTGCGGACACGTCTGTTCTTTCCCGAGTGCCTTCGCCCAGTAGCCGGTAAAGGGTGGCGTGTTTCCCGGCGTCGCCGAGCCCGCCGGGGATGGTGCAGAGTAGGGGGCTCCGGGCTGGGCTGCCGTCGCGAGTCCCGCCGGCCCAGCAGAGCCCGGCCTGCTGCCTGCCCGGCCCTCCCCGAAGTGTCCAACCCCCACCCAGCCTGCGGGCTCTGCCCGGACCGTGGGTACCGTCTGCTTGCTCTCCCCCCGCAGCTTCCTGGCCCTCATGGCCCGCGTGTTCGTGTACGGGACCCTGAAGAGAGGCCAGCCCAACCACAAGGTCCTGCTGGACCCCACCAACGGCCGCGCCGCCTTCCGCGGCCGGGGCCGCACGCTGGAGGCCTACCCCTTGGTCATCGCGGGCGAACATAACATCCCGCGTCTGCTCAACCTCCCGGGGCAAGGGCGCCTCGTGCTCGGCGAGATCTACGCCGTGGACGAGCGGATGCTGAGCTTCCTCGACGAGTTTGAGGGCTGCCCGGACGTGTACCAGCGCACCCCGCTGCAGGTCGCGGTCCTCGAGTGGGAGGGCGCGCGCGGGGCGCCCGAGGAGACGCCGGCCGCCGACGGGACCCTGCAGTGCTTCGTGTACAGCACGGTCACCTACGCACCCGAGTGGGTCCGCCTGCCGCACCACGACGACTACGACTTCCAGGGGGAGCACGGGCTTCGCTACACTCGGCGGGAGGACAGATGACAAGCGCGAGGGCCAATCCCCCGCGCGTCCGCCAGGGGCCGGGGGCCGGAGCCCCGACCATGAGACGCCCTCAGCCCGTCTGCACTCCGCGCACCCGCGTAAGAACGTCCTTTGAAACACTTATAAAACTCGATCTGTGGGAAAAGGAACAATCTCTTTTTCAGCTGCAGCTGCTTTTCCCAATATTTTGACACACTGATCACAAAATTGTGCCTGAAGTCTGTCTAGCCGACAGCGCTTTGTTGCTTGCCGCTTCCAGAATGCCATGGGCTTGAATAGATCAGATAAGGAAAATTCAGGATCCTAATTCCCTAAATGACATTTCAAGAACTCGTATGTCACTTTTTTTTTTTTTTGCTTTGCTTTGATCTGAAGATAACATTTAAAATGTAGACTTCGTGTAGCAGCTAGATTTTAGCAACCCTACTGTATTGATTCTAACTTGGGGCAGCAAGAAGAATAATTTTTTAAACTGATTTGGGTTATCTCCGTGTAATAAAAGAACCTCAAGAAAAACATTGTGTTTGGGGTAGTTTTAGAGCATATAAAACATTAGTATTCACAATTTTCAGATCAAGCTTATTAAAGAAGGAGTTACTAAAGATGATCATATAATATTAAACTGGATGTTTTAGGAAACCAAATTTAAAAGTGTTGGTACTACTGTTGGCTTTTTTGGGGGAGGGGGAGGGGGCTTTACTTCCTTGGTAGAAGGTTCTTTTCATTCTAATCTGGCAAAATCACAAGCCACCTACTTGCTGGCAGATGCTGCTGAACACCCCGATTTCAGATGGAAGCTCACCCAAGCCCGAGGCCCAGTGGCAAGGTGCCGTCCCTGCCTCCGAAGGGAGCAGCATTTGGGGGGTTGGGTGGCCTTTCAGAGAAGAACCAACACGTTAGTAATTTGTTCTTCAGGCCTGACAGAAAGCTTAGCTTCCAAATACAAACAGCACTTAAAATAATTTTAGCAAGGCACGAAGTACCAATTACTACCCACCTCCATCTGATAATCTGTCAGTGTAGATTCAGATCCGCGCACGACTCTGCCTCTGTTTCCTTACCAGCAAAGTATGAAACGTATTCCAAGAATTTCAGAAGCAACTGACAACGCAGCTGCTGATCCTTAGTAACCTCGTTCTCCGCTGGGAGAGCTCCCTCGCTCTTCGACTTAATGGTAGACTGTGATCACTAACTGCATCTGGCATAAAAACAGGATCAGTATTTTTAGCCCTATTTTCTTAATTGGAAACTTGCTTCACAAAAACACAAAAAGGCAAGGATGGGTATCAACTGATGGGCTTGTGGCAGCCACACCCACCACTCCTGGGGTGAGAGAGCCCCAGCAAAGCCTGGGGGAGGGGGAGGGGGGCCGCCCGCCGGGTCCGTGGGCCCCGCACTCACCCGTGGGAGCCGCGCAGGAGGGATTTCCAAACTCCCCGGTGGCCCCCCGCGGGCTTTTGGAAGTTCAGAATAGCCACAAATGGGAGCGAGGTCCTCAACCAGGAAGAAGCAGGGAAACAGATTATGAAGGTGGTAAATGATAATTCAGTGAGACGAAGGCAAAGAACTGGGATTTACAGAAAGTTTTTTGAAGGATCACAATGGAACGCTAGTATTTCAAGGCTACTGGCACAGCCAATAGCCTCTTATGTACGTTGTCTTCGTTCAAAAAAAGGGCAAACTAATATTTAGACAAATGCTCAGCTTTATTGATTTAATTTTGACACTAGGAAATCTCACAGCAGAAGTACAAATCATATGTACAAGTATTTATATCAATAAAAATTTCCATTGGTGATTTTTTGGCAGAATGTTGGTTTTGACTATATGTGGAATAAATATGACCATGTAAAATCTGCTGCACAGGGGTGTTCCTGCAAAACGCTTGAATAAATTGAGTGTGAAAGAATAATAATACAAATGGCTAATTAAATTGGGTGATGACTGAAAGGCTATAAATACTTCATTCCAGTTCCACGAGCAGATCTCCTTCTCCAACTGTGTCTCCAGCTTTACAATGCACTGATTTCACCTTGAATTAAAAAAAAAGAAAGAAAGGAGGGAGAGTCAGAATTATTAACCAGACCTGAGGGAGCCGTCTCGTCACCCATTTCTGGAAATGAAGAGACATTTCTTCGTTGGGGGCGGAGCTGGACGGCACCCTAGAAGCCAGGCGCACTGATGCCCCACGAGCCCTCAACAGCCAGCACTCCCAAGCTCTTCTGCGGCTTCAGGCGGCAGAAATGGTCGGAGTTACTGGGAGTTACTGGTGTACTTAGTGTTCAAACACGAAAACAAAACCACCACACAATTATACAAGCATCAGACAAGACTCCTAATTAAGAGGAGAAAGCCCTTAGCCTGAGATCATAAACTTCCTTCTGAAGGGAAAGGAAATGCTGCGGAGCTGTGTGGCCGTGTGGTCTCGGTGGCCCGACATGGAGCAGCCACTGAGCCCCCCCCCGCCCCCGCACCACTGTGCCCTCCCGGTCCGTGGATTTATCTCGGCTCTAGTCAGGTTTTGCTTTCCCGAATTTGTGTTCCACTTTAAAATGGGCGGGCGGTATGGGGTGGAGAAGAGGCAGTCTTCTGACTTGTCAGGAGGTTCTTGCTTGGGCCTGAAGACACATGGCGGGCTCGACCTTCCTGGGCATCTGGGCATCTGGGCACCCGGCAAACGGGAAGAATGTCTGCGACGCCGGGTTCGGTGCCCTGGCCTGTGTCCTCGCGGCTCCGCTAGGAACTGCAAGGCCAGAAGGGGCCTTCTCCCTTGAATTGTGGCCCTGGAGCCCTCAGAACCCCGTGAACCGAAGCAGTGACGATTTCAAAGGCCTGGGGGTGCCGCTGGCCCTGAGTGGCTGCCCACTCTGATCTGGGGCCTCCGATGTTTGCAGAGGACACGTCTTGCATGCTGTGATGACGACGTGGAGGACTGGCGTCCATTGTGAATTTTCTCCGAGAGGAAAAATGGCTCTCCAGATAAGGACTGCTTGTCCCGAGGCTCACCAGGGCCTGCTCCTCTGTGCTGGGGCTCCGGCTACTCCTGGGGCGCCCTGCTGGGGCGCAGAAGGAAATGGGATGGGCAGGAAGGACTCCAGCTGATAGCGGTCAGGCCAAAGTACAGGTTGACCCGGAGCCCATCGACGCCCTGAAAGCGGCTCTGGGCCACCGATGGCCAGGGATCGGCTGAGCCTCCGGAGACATGGGACCCAGAAGCCACCGTGAGACCGCGGGGACCCCGAACACACCGACAGATGAGGGCCCCACGCTCCTTTGGGGAACTAAGGCCGCATTCATTTGTGTATTAGTACCTCAGTCTAGCAACAGGGGCCCTCGGCATGCATTGGACATATATATATGTTCTGGGTCCCTCCAAATGAGGCCAAGTTCCCATCACACCCGGACATTTCATGACACTAAGGCAGCAGAAATGTTAAGTAATCCCACGGAGCAAAACCAACAATTTCTACAAGAACAAAGACCATTTTGGGTTCACTTTTAGAAAAAAGAATCTGATGTAGAAGGCAGGATTCCCCAATCGTGGCCTTCTCTCCCAAACACCCTTCCAGCCTGACTAGCCAGCTCCAGGCCCGCCCGCCCTAAACTGGGCCTCTCTGTCTCTGATGCAAATGCCAGTGTGGGCCGGCAGTGCCCCTCTGCCAGGGCACCCATGTCCCCAGGGCTCGATCTCCGCTTCCCATGGCGCAGGCCACGGCGGCCTCTGCCCTCTCCTTGCCCCACCCCACCCTGCCTCGCTCCAGGACGCAGACCCCCCAAACCAAACTGTCCTTCAGAAAAGGCTCCCTCTGCTATGGGTGGCATCTTTGCAGAAGCAGGAAGAATAATGAAGTTATTATTAAAAGGACTTTTCTATTTTCCTCAAGGAGAAAATACATGTGAGAAGTTTTACTCTTAACAAGTTTCAGGGGAAATACAATTCCATTATTTTTTTCTCCCTAAATCATTATGTCCCACATGTGTACATGGGGCTTTCTGCTCCTCTTGATCTAAAATTGAACTGTTCTCTTTGTGGAGAGTTACATTAATTCTTGTGTCTGAATTAATTCATGTGTCTGAAGAGTTACATTAATTCTTGCAATCTCTAAAACCAGTTCCTGCCGTGTCACCTAAGTCTCAGATAACTAACGGACTCCGAGACAGACGTAAACATTAAAAATTAAAGACCCTTTAATTTGAAAGACATTAAGGTGAAGAACAATTGTTCTTTGACTACCTGCACGTCAGACAGATGCTCCATGAGGCAGGGACACACGGGTGCCAGGCGGAAAGAGCTCCCAGTCTTAATGTCCCGCTCTGCAGGAGCGACGAGCTGGCGGGGGTCACCTCCACGGTCCCTTCCAGGCCCAACCACCCAAGAGCCAAAGGTGGAAGTTCTGCTTCCTGTCACAGAGCTGGCAAGGGCTGGGGGGAGCTTGGGGACATACCTTGCCAGTTTTCCCAGCTGTCATACTGTTCTGCATTTTCATGGCTTCAATCACACAAATTTCCTGACCTTCTGCTACCTGGAAAAACGAACAGGAAAAAAGACAAGTTTTAAAATCCTTCTGATTCTGCAACACCACCACTCAGGGGTGAAGCCATCAAGAGAGTCTTTGTCAAATGCTCTGAAATTTGACCCAAACAGCAGCAACGACCTCTAATACTTCATGTTCCAAGTGAATCTCTGGGAGGCAGCAGAGAAGGGCCATTCCCTCTGTCTTCACCAAGTGCCACAGAGATGTGGCCAAAATGGAACGTTTTTCTCTTCTGGGCAATGTCCAGACTTGGCACATCTCTACAGACGGCAAGACCTGTGGTTTCTGGGGGCTGGGAAGAAGAGGGGAGTGGTTGCTGACGCACGCAGGGTTTCTTCTGAGCGGGGAGGAAGTGTTCTAGGTTGACGAGGGGGATGGCTGCACAATGAATTCCAGGAATAGACGAGAACCATAAATGTGCACGGTGAGGGGCCGACCTGCACTGGACGTGAATTTTATCTCTGCAAGGCTGTCACCCCAAACTGGAGTGCTTCCATCGGCAGCCTTGGGGAGCTGGGAAGAGCAGTCAGCCAGGGGGACCACTGTCTCAACCTCTGCGACACATGACAAGTAACAACGAGGTGGCTCCTGGAAGGTGCCTTCCGACGGGGGGAGCGACTGCTAGCAGCCTGCCCGGTCCTCGCGTGGAGGCCGGCGGCTCCCACGGGCACTGGCTCAAGCTCCACCCGCCTTCACTGGGAGGGGAGATCCACGCGGGGCCGGGAATGAGCTCCCCGGGTGAAGCCGCTCTATAGACTCTCTTTCCGTTGCCCTTGATGGGTTAGCACCAAGGAGCTGGGCCCCATTCTCCTCTCTCTGTGAAAAGGGCCTCCCAGTTTTTGACACGGTAAAGCTGAGTTTCCTCGGGCAACTGGCTGGCTACGCTGGGGTGCTGGTGGGCATCCTGGTGGGGGGCTCCCGGACACTCACACCAGTGCGGCTTGTGCTGGCCCGGAGTCGCAGAAGTGCCTGGAGAATGTTCTTCCCCGCACTCCCCAGATGATGCCCGAGCTCCCTCCCGGGCCCCCGCGGCCCCCCGCGCGGCACAAAGCTGTCTTGCTGGCAGTCAGGGCTGCCTGCGCCCCGCGCCTTCCTTCCCTCCGCTGATCAGGTGGTGGGCTGCCTTTTCCTGGCACAGAAATCTAGGAAGAGAGGGGATGCCAAAGCCTCGGTGCTGGCACAGAGGAGAGACGCTGTGCTGGGGAGCTGGGCTCTGCAGCTCCGTGCTCCCCGCCCGCTTGGATTCATTTGCCCCCCCCCCCCCCCCCCCCCGGCGGCTGCATTCCACAGAGAGTGAAGGGTCTGCACGCACGCGAGGGCTGCTCTTCTGCTCTTCTGCTCTTCGCAAGGACAGCGGGCAGGGCGTCATCCCTTCAGGGCAGGCAGGGACCCCGCGAGAGGAGACGGAAGAAGGGCAAGGCCCCCGGGGCCGCACCTGCCACGTAGCTACCCCCACCCCCCCACCCCCAAAACGCGGCCGGACCCGCACCACGCTCGCTCAGAGCCCGAGGGGCCAGAGCGTCCCGCCCAGGCCCCTGGAAATGGATCTGAAACTCAACGTGACGGAATCGAAATTCTCTCCACAGAGTAGTCATCGGCTCGCCACCTCTGGGTGCCCACGGCGGGGACCTGGGCAAGCTTGGTTCCCGGCCCCCACCCAGCCGGGCTTCCCCTGCTGTCGTCTGAAAGCCCATCCCCGACCCGGTGGGCTTCTAGGGGGTGGGGGGCACAACCTACCCCCTCTGCGGCAGGTTTGACCCCTCTCAGCTGCTCAGCCCATGGCTCAGAATCTGCAGGCCAGACAGAGCGCCCCTCACTGGTTCTTTATGGGATCTTCAAGTAAGTGGATTCACAGTTAATGCAAACAGGAGAAGGAAATGAACCCGGGAGATTGCGGTGGTCACAGCAATGGGGCACAGACCACCCTGACAAGGATGCCACAGGGCCCACGCTGGAGGGCGGTGGAGCCTGGGCCACGACCCCACACCAGGCTCGAGCCGGCCACGCCGGTGCGG